TCCAAAAAATTTTGGGAAAACGGCCTTAGGCCAACCCGCCATTTTGACAACCCGGGGCGGGGGCCCCCGGGCCCTCAGGATGGCGAGAAGGGAAGGTGACGGACATGTTCTCCTTCTACTCGCTCCCCTCGTCGGTGCTCAAGCACGAGAAGCACACCAAGCTGCACGCGGCCTACTGCTACTACTACTTCGCGAACAAGACGCCGGTCCAGCAGCTGATCAGCGACGCGCTCGCCCCTCGCCAAGCCGCCGCTGGCCATGGAGGACGACCGCTCACGCCGCACGACTCGTCCCGCAGGCGCTCGTCCTCGCGAAGAGGCACGAGTTTGACGTCTTCAACGCGCTCGACATCCTCGACAACGACAGCCTGCTCAAGGCAAGCCCCCCGACCCGCGCCCCGGACACACACCTCTCCCCGCCCCTCTCTCCTCCTCGACCTCCTGCCCGGGGAGCCTCGCAGACCGCGGCACCTCTGCTGCCCGGCGGCGGCGGCCCCTCGTCCTCCCCCTCCGCGGCCGGACTCCCCCCTCCGCCGCGGCGCAGGAGCTCAAGTTCGGCATCGGAGATGGGCACCTGCAGTACTACCTGTACAACTGGAGGTGCCCCACGGTCGTGGCCAACGAGATTGGCCTCGTCCTCCTCTGAGGCTCCTACCGCGTGCACACGCCGCACGGAGTAGCGGCCGCTTCTCCACACCCGCCGTGGCGCCCGCCCTGCGTCCCGGCTGCGTGCGATCGGCGTTTGCGTCTTTTACGACCCGCGCCCTGAGGCAACGGGGCGCTCGCTCGACCCCTGGTGGCGGCAGGAGCAGTTTAAGCTCCTGGATGTGCGGTCCATCGTCAGCCTGTCGTCAGCGTTCTCTGCAACACGATCTCTCTGGGGCGATACGGCTGCGACGCGGGAGTCGGGGACACTCACAACTCAGACTGGCCTCACAGTAGCGCTTTTCTGTTTTGGTCAGACCGCTCTGTTCCCGTATGAAAGATGTTTTTAATCACGATAATGCACAGGACGAGAGGTTGTGGGCGGGCGCCTCGTCGTCTCCGCCTTCCAGACAGGCGCATACGGACCAGTGACACGGCCCAACAACAAGGACACGGACATCGCGCCGATGGAGTACGGAGGGATGCGCATTGAGCCCAAGTACGCTCGTTGGTCTTCCACAAGATCATTCAGGTCTGCCGAAACACGCCTCCTCTCCCCCCTTACCACTCTGGGACTCGCCCGCCGCCGCCGCCGCGCCCGCCGCCGCCACCGCGCCCGCCGCCGCCGCCGCGCCCGCCGGCGCTGCCGCCCGCCACCGCCGCCGCACCCGCTGCCTCTCCTCCCTCCTTCCCTATCTCCTCAAGCTCCCCCCGCCCGCCCCTTCCATCCAGATCTGGAACAAGTACTTCAAGGACGACCCAAAATACGGGGAATCGGCAGGGAACTTTTGCAGCATCGAGGGTGCGGACACACCAAGGCCCCGGAGTTGCTGCGCTGGCGTGCTCACGCCTATGAATGAACGTGGGAAACGTCGATTATGCTTACAAGCAGCGAGGTGCCAACAACAAGAACTTCACCCATCTTGCAAGCTCTAGGGGCCGGGCAGGGTAGTTTGCCCTCCGAAACTGGCATGAGGAACCTAAGAAAAAAGTGGCTCTGGCTCCGAAACCCTCGCACAGCGTTACAAAAAAATCGTTGCGGTCTCGAGGATTCAGCACAGATCGCGCGGGAACGGAAGGACTGCGGGCGGGGGGCGGTTGTCAGCTGTCACATATGTCAAAGGAATCCTTTCACCGGCAGCCCACTGCGCCTGTGAGTTCGTTCAGCGCAAGCATCAAGCTGCGCCTCCCGTCCGGGGCGAAGCAACCGCTGCATCCTGTCTTCTGTGATACCGGCATGAAGAACGGCATCCGAGGCCAAACCCGATACTATGCCGCAGCTCCTGGTGAGCCATTTGTTGTTGAGTGCACCAACATGTTTGGGAACGCCGCGACAGGAGACTTTGGCGGCTATGTCTTCGTCGACCAGGGAGAAACACCGCCGCCTGTCGACCAGAACACCTGGGATCACGCCTTCACCTGGGGTCCGATTCGGGAGCGCGGCGACCGGTCGTACGATATCGAGGGCTACACCAAGAACCGCGACGAGGCCTACTCGTTTCGCTTCGATCACACTCTCCCGCCCGGAGAACGTGCGCTCGCGCGTTGCTCCGATGAGGATCCCAAAATTGGCTGGATTGTTGTTCGCTTCTTCAAAGTCACAGGGTATGAGGAGGCAGAGACGGAGGAGGCAGCCAGGCCTGCTCAGCGGCAGAAGGTGACCAAGGACGACGTGAAAAATATGTTCGTCACTCCATGCCAGCCTGGTGAGGTGGTCCAGTCTAGCGTCACACACGGCAGGGAATCGCCCATATTTGCTGCGGAGCCGATCTACGAGAGCCGAGTCCGCTGGCTTGAGTGGCCCGGCCTGGTTGCCGCCCTCAAAGCGAAGCAACAGCACATTGCATCACTCCTTCCCGACGTGCATCGGGCGATCCCGTTCGCAGCGCTGCACGCGCCCCGGTTGCGGACGCAAGTCATCGAGCAGCTTCTAGTGCGCGCGCGCAAGGTTGGCGAGTCGGGCACCACGGGACTCTTGTTGCGCGCGGTCAGCGACGAAAGCTATGTCGCTCTGGAGGACATTGTACAGATCATCAACCTCCACTTCGACCCGATTGCTGCGCGGATCGTGTGCTGCGGCAAGCTCGAGCACCTCAAGCCGCTCGCCGACGCAGCGAAAGTCCAAGGAGACCCCGTCGTCCACTACGACGAGGATCTTGATGCCTTTGCTGACGAGAGCGGCTGTGTGTCGCTGGAGAAGCTCGACGAGGACGCACACTTCGACGAAAAGCTGCACGGGCTGCACTCCTTCTTGACGGACCACCTAGATGCGTGGGAAATTGCGTCACGGGGCAGCCTGTCGCTGCCCCCGGGCGTCGGACGCGGCATACAGATGCGGAAGCGCATTCTCAACCTCTCGACGTCGGGCTCTAGCAGCGGCGGCATGGGCTGCACCATAGCCGTGAAGGTAGTTGACCAGGACGGCCGGGAGGACGCGTACATCGTCGAGATGGACAACAGTCTTGCCCCGATGATGGACCAGTACTGCCACACGCGCGGCATCGGTGATTCGTCGAGGAGCACGCTGCGGTTCCTGTTCGATGGGGAGCGCGTGAACTCGCACCAAACCCCGAGAATGCTTGAGCTGGAGGACGGGGACTGCATCGACGTGATGACCGAGCAGCTTGGAGGCGTTGAGTAGGGGTGATCACGGCGCTGATCAATACACACATACCTCCCATAGAATACGTGTGTGCACGTTCCCGTAGACAGTACCCCCTTTTACCCATCTCCGAGTCATGCTCCGAGTAGAGGTGTCCGTTTTATTTATTATTTATAGGACAGTACCGCGGCTTGCGGGGGGCGGGGCCCCACTAGCACTACCGCCTACACCGCCCTGTGCACAAAGCCCACACAATGTGCACAAACGAGATATTACACACAGATTGCGGGGATCTCCTGAGGTCTGTGTGTGCCGCACACACTGTGTCTCGTGTGTGCAGTGTTACTAGCAGTGTCTCGGGAAGTGTGCAGTGGAACGGACCCGTACACACAACACACGGAGAGAGACTCTGAGAGGGTTGCTTGATTGATGGGAAGGCGAAACACAGTCCGACCAACGACTGGGACACCGACGCGGTATGGGTGGACGCTAGACGGGCGATGACGGTCACACAGGATGGACACACAGAACCACAAGACAAGACACTCAGCCAGACTGACTGCCACACATCCTGAGCCAACTTCCCTAGTCACCCGCGGCCGGACTCCATCCGGCACGCGTCGCTGGGCGCTCAGAGCTGCGTCCCCTGCTCGCCACCCCGACGCCCAAGGCGCCCGAGCGAACGACAGGCGGCACGCGAAGACTGATTGCAATCCCGCCGACCGCCAGGCCGCGGGATGATGCGTGCGTGGTCTTGTAGTGGGTCTCGGAAGCTCTCCCCTCGGGCTAGGAGCCAGCCCCTCTCCCTTGCCCCCGGAACACTGTGTCCGAGTCGAGGCGTGTGCTTGCCGGTCGACGGCCGCGCGCGGTTGGCAGTGTGACGAAGGTTGCGCGCGGCCGCGGCGCGCCCGCCATGGTTCGGCGCGGCGCGCCTACCAGCGGCAATTGTCGAGGCACGGGAACGCTTACCCGGGGTCATCCTCTGAGCCAGGTCGTCGGCGCCGCGATGCCACAGCGGCGCATTCGACGTCGTCGGCGCGCTGCCCCGCGTTGAGCCCCGCCGCTCGTAGCGACGGCCGCAGGTTGGCCCGGTGCAGCGCGCCCTGGCCGCAGACTGAAGAACGGCCACGAGGGGTGTGTGATGTGCGGGAGGGTGTGAGGGTTGCTCTGGTTGGGTAATCACGGATGGTAAGATTAAAAGGTATCCTCCAATCCTCCAATCCTCTCCCCCCTTAAAAGCCGTAGCCCTTTACCCCGCCAGCCGCCTTTTCCGGTTTTCGAAATTCGAAAGGCTGTTCTTTTCACGCTCGGCCTCGGGGCTTCTTGTACAACCGCACACACATAGATATCACGCCGCCCATTCGTGCGCGCGCGGGGGCAGAGCGTGTGCACACCACGCCCCACTCCCTCACACCACAAAAGCGCTCCCCGCAAGTGTCCAATGCGAGGGAGCGGGAGAGAGAGGAGAGAGAGGATTTGTACATGGTGCGAGCCGTCTCTTGCGCCCAACGCGCCTCCGACTGTCGAGGGCTCGGCCGCGGCACTCGAGCCCGCGCTCGCGGGCACGAGGCCCTCGCCGTGACTCGCCGTTGCGGCGGCGCGCCGGGCTCCGTCGCCCACTTTGCCGCGAGAGTCAAGGCACCCCGGTGGGTACGCTCGGCAGCGGGTGCGACAGGGGAACTTGCCGCCCGTCGTCGGTGGCCGGCTCGCTGCCGTCGCCGCTAGCGCTGCCCGCCGCCTCGGCCTCGGTGACGTCGGCGGGGACGAGGGCGGCGCGGATGACCTCGCGCACGTCCGAGACGAGCTCGAACTGCATCTCTTCGAGGACCTGGTGCGGCGGGGAGGGACGGGGGAGGGGGGGGGGGGCGGGGTGTTCTCGGGGAAGCCCAACGAGTTGCGTGCGAGGTGTCTGGGGGACGTGTCTCTCGTCGAGCACCTTTTGCGGCAGCTCGCGTAGGTCCTTCTCGTTGGCCTGCGGCAGCAGCACGGTGCGGACGCCGGCGCGGTGCGCGGCGACAACCTTCTCCTTGATGCCGCCGACGGGGAGGACCAGCCCGCGCAGAGTGATCTCGCCCGTCATCGCCACGTCGTTGCGCACGAGGCGGCCGGTGAGGAGGGACGTCAGCGCGGTGGTGATTGTGACGCCGGCCGAGGGGCCATCCTTTGGCGTCGCGCCCTCGGGGAAGTGGATGTGCAGGTCGGTGGTGTTGAGGAGAGCCTCGGAGGCGGTCTTGGCCAGGCCGAGCTCGGCCACGTTTGCGCGGATCCACGTGAGCGCCGCCTTGACGCTCTCCTGCATCACCTCCTTGATGTTGCCCGTCATCTGCACCGCCCCCTTGCCCGCCACCTGCTCCACCTCCACAAAGAGCGTCTCGCCCCCAAACACGGTCGCGGCGAGCCCGAGCGCGATGCCGGGCTTCGTGATGCGCCGCGCAACGTCACGCCGCGGCTCGAAGCGAGGCGGACCGAGCACCCGCTCGATGTCCGCCACGCTCAGCGCGATCGGCGCCGCCGCCGCCGTCGCCGCCTCGGTGGCCGCCTCGCCTGCCTCGCAGACGTTTGCTGCGATCGCGCGGCAAACGGCGCCCAGCTTGCGCTCGAGCTCGCGCACGCCGGCCTGCGGGAAGCGGGCGGGAGGCAAAGACTTGACGGGCGGGGAGGGGGGCCGGCGCAGGCGGGTGGCGCCCACGATGGGAACCATCGCAGCGCATCTCGGCGCATCTCGGCGTGGCATTCTCGGCGCATCTCGTCGCATCTCGGCAAGGCTGGCCTCGCGCGTGTAGCCCGAGATGAGGTGGTCGAGCTCCTCCTCGCCGAGCGAGAGCTGGCCGGGCGAGAGGCCGTGCAGCGCGACCTGCTTCGGCAGCAGGTGGCGCGCGGCGATGGCGACCTTGTCGTCGACGGTGTAGCCGGTCAGCTCGATCACCTGTGCGGGACGCGTCACGGACATGTCACGGACATGTCCCGGGCGTGGCCAGCGGGGCGTGTGTGGTCCGTCCGTGCGCTGGTGAGCGTCGGTCGCCTCCATGCGGTCGCGCAGCGGGCGAGGAATGCCCTCCATCTCGTTGGCGGTTGCGATGAAGAGGACCTGTGACGGGGCGACGGGCACCTCACTGGGCCGTGCATTCCTCCGTCGTCTGCGGAGGCGAGGCGAAGGGCCGCCTGCGACAGGTTGAAGGGCACCGCCAGGAAGTGGTCGCGGAAAGCGCCGTTCTGCTCGGGGTCGAGGACCTCGAGCAGCGCGGAGGACGGGTCGCCGTTGTACGAGTTGCGACCGAGCTTGTCCACCTCGTCGAGCATGATGACGCAGTTCGCGGCGCCGCACTTCTTGACCGCCTGCAGGATGAGGCCGGGCAGCGCGCCGACGTACGTCCTCCGGTGGCCTCGCACCTCCGCCTCGGAGTGGATGCCTGCGCGACAGAGGGCAGCCGCAGCGTTGGGGCCCGCGTGCCCAGCAAGCCCCTCCCCGCCTTGGGCAGCGGCTGCCTCCCACGGAGACGCGGTGGAACGGGCGGCCGAGCGCCGCGGCCACCGACTTGCCGAGCGACGTCTTGCCTGAGAGGACGGTTCGAGGACGGGTCCGGGAAGCTTCTAGGAAGAGGCCCGACCGACACTAGCCGCGCGAGGTCGTGCCGATGCCGGGCGGGCCGAGCATGCAGAGGATGGACCCCTTGGTGTCTCCGCGCAAGTGGCAGACGGCGAGGAACTCGAGGATGCGCTGCTTGACCTTGTCCATTCATAACTCACACTCAATACCGGCAATACCTCCGTCATGAGTGCTTCCCCCGAGGGTGCGTTGCTGGCACCTTGTCCATCGCGTAGTGGTCCTCCTCAAGCTGCGCGCGCGCCTGCGAGAGCGGCACCGGCGGCTGCGGCGACTCGGGCGGCGCCCAAGGCAGCTCCGCCATCCACTCGAGGTAGTCGACGAGCGTCGAGTACTCGGAGTGCATCGGCGACATCCGGCGCAGCCGCCGCAGCTCGCGTGTCACCACCTCCTCCGCCTCTGCGGGCAGGCCTGCGGCGCGCAGCCGCCGCTCGAGGGTGGGAACCTCGCCGTCCTCGTCGTCGCCGCCCGAGGGGCCGCCTGCTCACGGAGAAGCGGCGTGTGAAGGGACGCCCTCCACCCCCCCTCCTCGTCCTCGCCGGCCGTGGGCCCGCCTATCATCAAGTGCCGACGGCTCCTCCTCCACGGGTCGAGTCGACACGCCTCGGGCCCGGCTCAGGCCCCGCCGGGCATGAAGGGCAAGCCGATCGGCGGCGGCAGCCCGCCCGGGAAGGGCGGCTTGGACGTGTAGATCCGGAAGTGGACGGGCGCCTGCGAGGGGCCGTCCCGGGGGCGTGTCGTGGACGCGGCTCCGACGGCGCGGGAAGCTGCGGCGGAGTGGACTGTGGCCACCTCGCTCGAGTTGCCGGCCGAGCCGCGCTTGGGGCGAGGCTCGCGCGCGACCTGCCGCTCGATCTCCGAGATCAGGCCCGAGATCATCCCCTGCAGCTGCTCGACGATGCCGCCCTCCCCCTCCCCCTCCCCCTCCCCCTCCTCCCCCTCCTCCTCCTCCTCCTCCTCCCCCTCGCCGCTCGCGTCGCCGCTCGCCTCTCCCGACGCATCGGCCCGCCTCCGCCCCTTGTCCTCCGGCCCCTCGCCCTCATCGTCGTCGTCGCCATCGTTGTCACCGTCGCCGCCGAGGCCGCCGCCGCCGCCGAGGCCGCCGAGGCCGCTCCCTCCCTCGCCTCCGTCGCCGTCGCCGTCGCCGTCTGCCGCCGCCAGCAGCTCAGCCGGTTGCGGCCAGCGGCGCGCGCTCCGCTCCGCGCGCAACATCGGCCCGCCGCTGCGGACGGCCGCGCCCTGCCGTTCATATTTGAGAATATAGGCCCGATTTGGAGCTGTATTCTTGGCACATTCGAGAATATAGACCCTGTTTGGGACAAGAATACGGAAAGAATACGGAAAAAGAATATAGATACATAGTAGTTAGTACTGGGCGAGAAAACCGTATAAAGGCCAACCTTCGGCTCGCGTGGATTCAGCTTTTCAGGCCCGCCCGTACCTACCTATGTGTCAACCCGGGACGGCCGCCTCGTGGCCTGGCACGGCCTGTTTAGCCGCGCTTCTCGCTCGTGGCCGCGCCATGCCTGACTGACCCTCCCCAAGCTGCGCGAGGACAGCGGAAAGCTGCGACCTCGGGCGATTATCCAGGACGCGCAGCACCCCTCGAGTATGATTCACTCATTAGCGACCGCACGACACGCCGCTCGAGCCCCTCCCTGCCTGCGCCTATGGGCGCGAAAGCGCTCGCGGCCCCTACCTACCTATCCAGTGGAGGCCTGTGGCACCTCAAACCCCTCCTGCCAACCTACCTACCCCGCCCCCCCCCTCAGCGCGAACTACGACCCCAGACGGCTGGGAGCCCGAACCCTGACAGGGTTGTGCACCCTTTGTTTCACCAGTGGCCCGCGAGACCTCGAGAGCCCGCGCGCCCGTCTGTTACGCGATCGATGCCGAGGCATGGATCCGCCGTCGCCCTTCCGGCGGCCGCCGCTCGTGACGCTTTCGGCACAGGAGGACGCGTACGCCACGCTGCTCGACGATTCGCAGTGGACGCAGGCCGCCGCATTTGGAGACGACGACCGATTCTCGACGCCGTCGCAGCGCATTGGCCGCAACTACCGGCAGCCCTCCGAGCAGGACGCTGCGCAGCTTGATGCGGCCCGCGTCCTCTCGCCTCCGCGAAGGCGCAAGGGCTGGGCGCCCGGCCTGTCCTGCCGGCCGCTGCTGTCGCCGCTCGAGGCTCCGTCTCCGCCGGGTGGCTCGCCAGCCGGGTCGCCAAATGCGCGGCAGAGGGCCGATGCTGAGCCAGAGGGGGACAGTAGCCCGTTCAAGGGGACGCTACGCCGGGAGCACATCACCGACACCGAGGTGCTTCAAGCGCGCTTCGACGAGTACGTACGCTCGGGCGTGGATGAGTCATGCCTCGCGCCGTTCAACCAAGAGTGATGATCGTCGGCTACTCTTACGGCGCCAAGACGTCCATGTACCGTACGCTCGCTGCGGCGCTCACAGAGATGAAAGCGCGCGGCGCCAAGGAGGAGGCGGTGAGCTGCCACGTGCTCAACCCAAAGTCGATCACGATGGGGCAGCTGTACGGACAGTTCGACCCGGTTACACACGAGTGGTCCGACGGCGTCCTCGCCGTGACGTACCGAGGCGCGGCGCAGCAAGAGAAGCTGCACGGCATCTCCGACCGGCAGTGGGTGTTGCTGGACGGACCCGTCGACGCCATCTGGATCGAAAACATGAACACGGTGCTGGACGACAACAAGAAGCTCTGCCTCATGTCGGGCGAGATGATTGCCATGTCCTCCAACATGTCGATGATTTTCGAGGTCCAAGACCTGGCCGTAGCCTCGCCGGCCACCGTCTCGCGCTGCGGCATGGTCCGACTCGCGCCCGCTGCCCACATTGCCGCGGCCGCGGTGGCCACGCCCGTCCCCATCGCCGCCCCCCCGCGCCACAGGTGTACGTCGAGCCATCGCAAATCGGCTGGGAGCCGCTGCTCACATCGTGGCTCAACACGCTCCCTGAGCCCGCCAAGCCCTTTGCAGACAAGCTGCGGAACCTGTTTGGATGGCTGGTCCCACCGTGCACGCGATTCGTCGTCAAGGAGTGCAAGTCTATGCTCTCGGTGGGGATTCCGATGACTGACGAGGTGAATCGCGTGCGTTCGCTTATTACGCTGATGGAGGCCCTCCTCTTTCCGGCGCTGAATGACGAGGCCCGGGCAGCCGAGATTGGCCAACGATTGGAGCTCTGGCTGGAGAACTTGTTCCTCTTTGCGCTCGTCTGGGCTATAGCAGGCATCATCGATGGCGCGTCGCGGCCAAAGTTCGACGCGTTTCTGCGCCAGGTGGCCGCAGGCCAGCCCCCAGTGGGCTACGAGCAGGTGGACGGCACCTTTGGCGAGGCGGCGCGGTGGGGCTCCTTCCTCCCTGCGGAGGCGACGTGCTTCGAGTATGTCTTTGACCAGGCGAAGCACACCTGGAAGCCTTGGATGGAGACAATCACGAGGGAGGAGTCTCAGATCTCGCCGACGGCCGAGTTCTCGTCGATCATCGTGCCCACACTCGACACGGCGCGCTACACCGCACTCCTCCATACGCTGCTTGACTACAACCGGCCGCTCCTCTACGTCGGCCCGACGGGGACCGGTAAGACGGCGTACGTCCAGCGGCATATCCTCTCGCTGCCGGCGGAGCAGTGGTCGTCTGCCTTTGTCAACTTCTCGGCGCAGACGTCGGCCAATCAGGCGCAGGACATCATCGACGCCAAGGTAGACAAGCGGCGCAAGGGGGTGTTTGGTCCGCCGCTCGGCCGCCGGCTGGCAGTGTTTGTCGACGACCTCAACATGCCGTCCCTCGAGGTGTACGGCGCCCAGCCGCCGATCGAGCTCCTCCGCCAGTGGATGGACCATGGAGGGTGGTTCGACCGCAAGGAGAACTCCTTCCGCAAGATCGTAGACCTCACCTTTGTCGCGGCGATGGGCCCACCGGGCGGCGGGCGCAACCCAGTCACGCCGCGTTACATGCGCCACTTCAACATCATAGCCTACACCGCGTTTGACGACGCGTCGATGCAACGCATCTTTCAGACCATCTTAGAGTGGTGGCTGCGAAAGGAGCAATTTGGAGCTGACTACATGCGGATGGCGACCTCAGTGGTCGGCGCAACCATCGACGCGTACAAGGAGTCGATCGCGAACCTGCTGCCGACGCCCTCAAAGTCGCACTACACCTTCAACCTTCGCGACGTCGCGCGCGTGGTGCAAGGCCTGCTCCTCACAAACGTTGAGGACTACACCGGCCCGTCTGACATGATTATGGCATGGTGCCATGAGCTCAACCGAGTCTTCTACGACCGCCTCACCGACATGGACGACTGCGCGTGGTTCCGCGAGATGCTGGTCGGCCTCTGCACCAAGCACTTCCAGCAGCCGGTGAGCAAGCTCTTCGAGGAGCGCGGCCTGCCTCTCGGATCGACCGGCGACGTCGACGATGACTCGCTGCGCCGCCTCATCTACTGCAACTTCGCTGTACCCAAGGGAAAACGCACCTACCGTCGGGTCGAATCGACCGAGGGGCTACAGAGCACCATGAGCACGTTCCTCGACGACTACAACGCCGTCTCGTCCAAGCCTATGAAGCTCGTGCTCTTCCTGTTTGCAATGGAGCACGTCTGCCGTATATCACGCGTGCTGCAGATGCCCCGCGGCAATGTGCTGCTCGCTGGCGTCGGCGGCTCCGGTCGACAGTCGGCCACGCGGCTGGCGGCCTACATCTGTGACATGGATGTCTTCACGATCGAGGTGTCCAAATCCTACTCGATGGCCGACTGGCGCGAAGATCTCAAGGCGGTGCTCCGGCTGGCCGGCATGCAGGGCAAGGGCACAGTCTTCCTCTTTGCCGACACGCAGGCACAATCTTCCTGCCCCAGACGCGCTCCTCGCCCTCCGCTGCCTACGCCTGCCCGCCCACGCCAGTGTACGCGCTCACGCGGGTGCAAACTCAAAATAGGTGAAAGATGAGGCCTACCTCGAGGACATCAACGGCCTGCTCAACGCCGGCGAGGTGCCCAACCTCTTCCCCGCCGACGAGAAGGCGCAGATCTGCGACGGCGTGCGCGAGGCCGCGCGCCAAAACGAACGTGAGGGCGACGGCTCCATGACCACTATGTTTGCGTACTTTGTCGAGCGCTGTCGCGACCTTTTGCACATCTGCCTGGCCATGTCGCCGATCGGCGACGCCTTCCGACGCCGCCTGCGCATGTTCCCCTCCCTCATCAACTGCTGCACCATCGACTGGTTCCGCGCCTGGCCGGCCGACGCCCTCGACGCGGTGGCCTCGACCTTTCTCGAAGAGGTGGAGATGGAAACGGACGTGCGCTCGTCCGTGGTCGAGATGTGCAAGACGTTCCAGATTCAGACCCGCGACCTGGCGGAAAAGTTCGGGCGCGAGGAGCGACGCATGGCCTACGTGACGCCGACCTCGTACCTCGAGCTCATACAGACCTTCCAGACTGTGCTGGCTGAGAAGCGCAGAGAGGTCGATCTGGTGCGGCGACGCTACGACAATGGGCTTGATCAGCTGAACGGCGCCGCTGAGGCGGTCGTCAAGATGCAGGAAGAGCTGACGGACCTCAAGCCTAAGCTGGTGGTCGCCAAGGAGGAGACCGAGACGATGCAGGTCCAGATCGACAAGGAGGTCAAGGAGGTGATCGAGCCCAAGAAGGAGGTTGTGCAGGCGGAGGAGGCCGCGACCAATGAGGTTGCCATGCGAGCAAAGGGCATGAAGGAGGAGTGCGAGGCGGACCTCGCCGAAGCCATCCCGGCACTCAACTCTGCCATCAAGGCGCTCGACACGATCAAGAAGGCCGACATTGACCTGGTCAAAAACATGGGCTCGCCTCCGGCCGGAGTCAAGCTCACGCTCGAGGCGATCTGCGTGATGAAGGACGTGAAGCCGGACAAGGTGAAGGACCCCGACAACCCAGCGAAGAGCTTGCTCGACTACTTTGGCCCCGGCAAGAAGCTGCTGATGGACTCCAAGGCCTTTGTCGACTCGCTCAAGTCGTACGACAAGGACAACATCCCGCCCAAGATCATCAAGGTGATCCGAGAGCAATACTGCACCAACGACGACTTCCTGCCGGAGAAGATCGCAAAGGCGTCGTCGGCTTGCGAGGGCTTGTGCAAGTGGGTGCGCGCGATGGAGATCTACGATCGCGTGGCAAAGGTCGTGGCGCCCAAGAAGGAAAAACTGAAGGAGGCAGAGGCGGAGTATGCGGAGGCGATGGCGGGGCTGTCCGTCAAGCAGGCTGAACTCAAGGAGGTCATGGACAAGCTGGCGGCGATGGAGGACAAGCTGAAGGAGCTCGCCCAGACAAAGGAGGAGCTCGAGGCAAAGTACGAGGACTGCAACGCCAAGCTGGAGCGCGCGGAGAAGCTCATGAGCGGGCTGGGCGGCGAGAAGCAGCGCTGGGGCGAGATTTCAGCGTCGCTCGGGCCAAAGTACGACCGGCTCGTCGGCGACGTGCTCCTCTCGTCGGCCGTCATCGCGTACCTCGGCCCCTTCACCATCCCCTTCCGGCGCGAGGCCATCGCGGGCTGGCAGCGCCTTTGCGACGAGAAGCAGGTGCCCATGTCGGAGCGGTTCGACCTGCAGGAGATCGTGGGCGACCCGGTGGCGATTCGCGGCTGGAACCTGCAGGGGCTTCCGACCGACTCCTTCTCGATCGACAACGGCATCATCATCTCCGTCGCGCGGCGCTGGCCACTCATGATCGACCCACAGGGCCAGGCCAACAAGTGGATCCGCAAGAAGGAGGCCGAGGCGGGCCTTCTGGTCATCAAGCTCACGCAGTCCGACTACCTCCGCACTCTCGAGAATGCCATCCAGTTTGGCAAGCCCGTGCTCTGCGAGAATGTGCTCGAGGCGCTCGACCCGGCACTCGAGCCACTGTTGGTCAAGCAGACATTCAAACAGGGCGGGGTCGAGTGCATCCGGCTGGGCGACGCCACCATTGAGTACTCGCGCGAGTTCAAGTTCTACATCACGTCCAAGCTGCGCAACCCGCACTACCTGCCCGAGCTGCAGGTCAAGGTGACGCTTCTCAACTTCATGATCACGCCTGCGGGCCTCGAGGACCAGCTACTTGGCATCGTCGTCTCACAGGAGCGGCCGGACCTCGCGGAGGAGAAGTCGCGGCTCGTGCTCGAGGCCGCGGCGAACAAGAAGCAGCTGAAGGAGATCGAGGACCAGATCCTCGAGGTGCTCTCATCGGGCGAGGGAGGCTCGATCCTGGAGGACGCCACCGCCATCAACATCCTCACCGCCGCAAAGACGCTCGGGAACGAGATCTCGGAGAAGCAGCAGGTGGCTGAGGAGACCGAGATCAAGATTGACGAGGCGCGCGCTGGGTACAAGCCGGTGGCGTACCGCACGTCTCTGCTCTTTTTCTGCATCGCCTCGCTCGCGGACATCGACCCCATGTACCAGTACTCTCTCGAGTGGTTCATCAACCTCTTTGTGCGTGCGATCGCCGACTCTGAGCCCTCCGCCGACCTGCCCGTGCGGCTGGAGAACCTCAACAGCTTCTTCCAGGACTTTTTGTACCGCAACATTTGCCGCTCGCTGTTCGAAAGGGACAAGCTCTCCTTCTCGATGCTGCTTTGCGCGGCGCTGCTGATGGGGTACGACCGGCTGGATGCAGACGAGTGGCGTCAGCTGCTCACCGGCGGCGTGCTGCTCAACGCCGACAAGGCGCCACGCAACCCGCAACCCTGGCTGGATGACAAGCTCTGGGAGTCTGTCCTGACGGTGGCGCAGCTGCCCGCCTTCAGTGAGCTGCCCGCCAAGATAGCTGAGAACGGGGAGGCGTACCGGGCCTTCCTCGAGCACCCGGAGCCGCATCTGGCCTACGACTGCTTGCCCGAGTACGTGCAGAGCATGAGTGCCTTCCAGAAGTTGCTCGTGCTCCGCACCTTGCGCCTCGACAAGCTGGTGCCCGGCATCTCCCAGTTTGTGGCTGGTGAGCTCGGCCAGAGATATATCGAGCCGCCGCCGTTTGATCTGGAGGGCACGTTTCAGGACTCGAGCAGCACGACGCCACTCATCTTCATCCTCTCGCCCGGCGTCGACCCGATGCTCTCGCTGCTGAAGTTTGCGGAGTCGAAGGGGAGAAAGGTGGACTCGATCTCGCTCGGCCAGGGGCAGGGGCCGCACGCCGAGCAGTTGGTGGCGTCGGGGCAAAAGGAGGGCTACTGGATCGTGCTGCAAAACTGCCACCTCTACGTGTCATGGATGATCACCCTCGAGCGGCTGGTGGAGGAGATGGACCCGAAGAAGGTGCACAAGAACTTTCGGCTTTGGCTCACGTCGTACCCGTCGCCGCACTTCCCCGTCCTCATCTTGCAGAACGGCGTCAAGATGACGAACGAGCCGCCAAAGGGGCTGCGCGCAAACATGATCCAGTCCTACCTCGCCGATCCCATCTCGGACCCAGAGTTTTTCGACCGCTGCCAGAAACAGCCACAGTGGCGCCGGATGCTCTTTGGCCTTTGCTTCCTCCACGCCTGGCTGCAGGAGCGGCGCAAGTACGGCCCGCTCGGCTGGAACATCCCGTACGAGTTCAACGAGAGCGACCTGCGCATCTCTGTGCGACAGCTGCAGATGTTCCTCGACAGCTATGACGAGACACCGCTTGCAGCGCTCAACTACCTCACCGCCGAGTGCAACTATGGCGGCAGGGTGACGGATGACAAGGACCGCCGCACGCTCGTCACAGCGGTGCTGAACATCTACTGCCCGCAGATTCTGGAGGATGGGTACCGCCTCTCGGCGTCGGGCATGTACGTGGTTCCGACCGATGCGCTTGACTCGCACGAGGCGACGGTCGAGTACATTCGGCAGTGGCCGCCTGTCGCCAAACCAGAGGTGTTTGGGTTGCACGAGAATGCCGACATCACAAAGGATCTGGGCGAGGTGGACCTGATGCTCAAGACCATGCTACTCACCCAGGCGCAGAGCGGTGGCGGTGGCGGTGGCGGTGGCAAGTCGACCGATGACGTGGTCGCCGAAATCTCCGGCGAGATCCTGGGCAAGCTCCCGAGCAACTTTGACATGGAGGTTGCGGCGCGGCGGTACCCTGTGGTATACTCCGAGTCGATGAACACCGTGCTAAGACAGGAACTGCAGCGCTTCAACAAGCTCACCTCCAAGATCAGGAGCTCGCTTCTCGAACTGGGCAAAGCGCTCAAGGGGCTCGTCGTGATGAGCGCCGACCTCGAGTCGATTGCGAGCGCCATGTTTGTCAACCAGGTGCCGGAGTCGTGGGCCAAGGTGTCATATCCCTCGCTCAAGCCCCTCTCTGCCTACGTCACGGAGCTCCTCGAACGGCTTGAGTTCTTTTCGACGTGGCTTGAGGAGGGCAACCCCGTCTGCTATCCCATGCCGCACTTCTTCTTCGTGCAGGCCTTTATGACTGGCGCGCTGCAAAACTACGCCCGAAAATACACGCTGCCCATCGACACCGTCGAGTTTGACTTTCACTTTTTCTGGGAGGCTCCAACGGCCAAGCCTGAGGACGGCGTGCACACGAGCGGTCTCTTCGTCGAGGGTGCGCGGATGGGCGACGAGAAGGTCCAGCTCGAGGAGTCGCAACCCAAGGTGCTATTCAGCCCAATGACTTACGTCCAGCTGCTGCCAGTGCAGTCGGACAAGCTGTCCACCTACCCCCACTATGAGTGCCCGGTCTACCGGACGACAGCGCGGCGCGGGACGCTCTCCACCACCGGCCATTCCACCAACTTCGTCATGTTCATGCGGCTGCCGACGGATCAGCCGTCATCACACTGGATAGCCCGTGGAGTGGCCCTGATCAACAGTCTGGCCACTTGACAATTTTCTAAGGCGAGGTGAGAGACTGTGCTCGTACGTTTACAGGTTTGACGTGTAAATTACAATGCGCCATAGAGAGCCGTGTACGTTACACATGCAGAGAGAACCCGCCACAACCCTCGCCCAGATCCCCCGACCACCGTATGAACACACATGCGCGCGGCGACCATGATCTCTATTGGTGCAGGGATGCACACGCACGCGCCGATGCTGTGCCGCGCAGGGGTGTGTGATAGAAGCACCGCGCACATGGGCTCGTCGACGCCCATGTCGACGCCACCCTCTTCCGGGTTAGACTGCCGAATACACATCGATGCCAGAGGCGACGCGTCCCGCCAGCGCAGACAAATCGGGGGGCAGCAGGGAGGTGCTGGGGGGCGGGCGCTCGCAGATGAACGAGCGGTGCGAGGCGGGCGCGGCCTGCTCGCGCCGCTCGTCGTTAAGGCGCACCTATACGTGACATGCACATGGACATGGACATGGATGGGCTTGTGTCACGCACGCGCGCCGCGCCTCGGGAGGCGTGCGCACCCAGCGGTTGCGGACCGAGGAGTCGGACCGGCCGGGCAGCTGGGCGGCGATGCGGCGCCACTGCCCGCCGTGGAGGCTGTGGGCCTGCTCAATGAGCGCGTCCTCCTCGGCGCTCCACTTGGCGCGGCCGTGCTCGGAGCCGCGGATGCAGCGCGTCGGCCTCGCCTCAGTCAGAGCGCCGTGCTGCGGGCCGAGGCTGCCGCAGCTGGCCGCGCCGGGCGGGGGGGACTGGGCGGCCAGAAGCGCATCCACCGCCACTCGCTCCGATGCCTTGCGCTGATCCAAAGCCTTTCGGAGCTCTTGGTCGCTCTGAAGCCGTTGGAGGCGGTTGCGCACCGCGTCCGGCGTGCGCTGCTTTCCGCTCGGGGGCGGCGGCATCTCCGCAGCGACGAGCGGGAACTGCGTCCCGTACCGCCGCACGCCCGCCAGCAGCGCGAGGTCCTCCTCGACCGTCCAGCCCGTCGCGGTGTTCCCGCCGCGCATGCGCTTGGGCTGGCCGCCGTCCCGCGCGCTGCCACTCACCCTCCTCTTGCTGCCCGCCGCGCCTAGCCGCCGCCCGCCGCCACCGCCGTTGGCCGCGTCGCCACTCCTCGCAGGCGGGGCGCAGTGGAACATGGGAGAGAGTGCCGCCCCGAGCAGAGCGCAGGGCGCGAGCCTCGCCGCTCCCCACGGCTCCGCCACGACGACAGGCTCCGCCTTGGCCACGAGCACCTCCTCCCGACCTCCCTCGCCGGACAGTGAAGGCGCGGCCCTCGCCGCGGCCGTCGTCCAGAGCAGCGGCTTGAGCAGCAGGGGCTGCAGCGCCGCAAAGGTGATCTCCTATCCGACGCGCCGTGAACGTGTCACGTGCTTTAATCCACCGCGTACACACTCTCGAGGCGGACGCTTGAGCTGCCTCGTCGCGCCGTTCGTCCTGCTCGGTGGCGGCCCAGCGCGCGCGGAAGTGCGGCGCGAGGTACGACGTGACGTGGCCCTCCCTCGCCCCCCGCCGCACCTGAGCCTCGCGCAGAAGAGCCGAGATCAGCCGAGATCAGCCGAGACCAGCCGAGATCAGCCGAGACCAGCCGAGACCAGCCGAGACCAGCCGAGACCAGCCGAGACCAGCCGAGATCAGCGTCCGCGCGCCTTTGCCGCGCCGCCGAGGCGGACGCCTTGCACAGAGCCGGAGGTGACGCGCTGAGGCTTGGCCGCCGCCTGCGCCGTGCCAGCCGCCCGCGGAACCGCCGCCAGCGCCTTATCCTTGCAGCTCTGCGGGGCGGGGCGGCCGGAGGGGCCGGCCGCGCTGGGCGGCGGGTCGAGGACTACCACGTCCCTCTCCTCCACCTCCCTCTCCTCCACCTCCACCTCCTCCTCGGCGGCCTGCGCCGGCGCCTGCCCGCCGTGCTCCCCACCAGCCGCCTGTCCGCCCTGCGCCATTCCGAGCAGCATCTCTGCCGCCTCCTTGTCGCCTCCCGCCGTGCGCGGCTTCTGCGGGGCCCGGCGCGGCGCCTTGCGCACGCGCGGCTGCGTCGACTTGTCCGCCGCTTCGCCGCTCGACGTGGCGGCGGGCGAGACGGCGGGGAGGGCGGGCGGAGAGGGAGAGGGCGCTGGCAGGGGTGCGGGGGTGCGGCGCCCGCCGCGGCTCGCTCGCGGGTCCGTCTGTGCAACCTCGCGCTCCCAAAATGCCGCGACGAGGCCGCCCTCCACCTCGCTCGCACGCAGCCAGGCGCCCGCCACCGCCTCGCCGCTGGCCTCGCGGTCGACGTAGTACTCCTGGATCGCGCCCACGACGCGCTCCGCCATCACCCGCGGCCTCGGCGCCGCCTGGTGCGCCGCCCGCGACTCCACCCTCGCGCGCTCAAACTCGCGCACTTTTCCGCTGGCGAGGGCGAGGTTGGCGGCGGGCTCCCACCTTGCGCGCAGGGGAGTCGGGGGGTTGAGACGCAATCCCTTGTGGTGTGAAGGCGTCTCCGCTGAGGAGCACATCATACTTGGGGGTGGCGCATATGCGTGCATCTAGGCGGCGGCGCACGAGTCGTCAGCGCGAGCGTATCCCACCCAAGAGACAAGGTACTCGGGGCCGCTGGCACCGCGGTGGCGGGTGTCGAGGATGCGCTCGACCTCGAAGAGCTCCTTGCCGCCGTCCACCTTGTAGGGCCCGGCGCCCTTTCCCTGCGAACGTTGTGGTGGGGCGGGAGGCGGCGTGGCGGTCGGCGGCGGCGGTCGGCGGGCGGTGGGCTGCGCTCGGCGGGCGGCGGGCGGTGGGCCGTGGGCGGCGGGTGGTGGGTGGAGACGTGGGCATGGGCCGGAAACCTTTAAGCTTGCACGCCCGGACTGGTTCTCGGCGACCGTGCCACTGGCCTCGGGGCGCATCGGCGGCGCGGGCGGCATTCACGCGGCAGCTCTCGTACTCGTACCTGGCAGGGCGGCTGTCGACCGGCCCAGCCTGCTTTTGGCGGTTATAAGCGGACTGCGTACTTTTTTTTCCTCTTTCGTGGCTGTATTCCGACGGGGATCTTGCAAGTCTTGTGCGCTTTGGAAGAGCAGCTCCTGATATATGACTGCTTTGTCCGCGGACGCGAGGGCGCTGCGGAGGCGGGCGGCGGTGGCGGAGGCGGCTGCAGCACCAGCAGCACACACACGCGACACGGGCGGGCGGCGGCACGCGGGCGGCGGCTGCGGCGCGGCGGCGCTGCTCCTCTGCTGCTGCTGCTGCTGCTGCGGCGGCGGCGGCGGCGGCGGCGGCGGCGGCGGCGGCGGCGGCGGCGGCGGCGGCGGCGGCGGCGGCGGCGGCTGCTGCTGCTGCTCCTGCTGCTGCTGCTGCTCCTGGTGCTCCTGCCTGCTACCCCGCCCGCACCCTCTAGAGTGTACGAGGTGGGTCACTTGGGGCCACGGCCCTCACTCCGAATAGGTGAGCGAGGGCGTGTGTGGCTGACGACTCGGCTCATGAGCCTCGCGTGACTCGCACCTACTAACCTCGCCTCGATGCGGCGCCTCGACGCCCACCGGCCCACCACACCTCGCCGCAGCCGTCGCCGGCGCGCGACACGGTACCGTCGGCCCAACCGTCCTCGTCGGGCAAACTTTCTCGCTGACACGCGCGCGCCGTCGAGCTTACCGGGCGGGCGCGCAGGCTGCGGCCGCACGCCAATCCAAGTCATACATAGTGCCACGGCGGCGTGCGGCCTAGATTCAGCACACGCACCTCGAGTCGCGCACCGCCAGCCAGGTCTGGTGCTGAGGTCAATCATCTGCACTGCCATCGATGATGAATGCGAGTGTAGGGCTAGCGATAGGTCGCTGGCCTGTGAGGAGAACGTCCATAGACACACGACCCAACACACATGCTCTCTCGTGCCTTGCGGCCGGCGAGTTTGCTAGAGGCGGGGCAGTCTGGACTGCTCTAGCCTCACTTACGTGCCCCTGTCGCCTTTGTTTGTCTTGTTCCTGCTGTTGTTTCGTTTGTGTGCGCTTGCACCTTGGGTGCTGCCTGGGGGGGCGACAGGGGGGGCGTGGCCCCGAGTAGCGTAGTGCCGTACGCTCACTCGGGATTTGTGTTTGTCGGGGTGTGGCAGCCCAGCTGGCTGAGTGTCTTGTGAGTGTGTGTGTCTGTGTGTCGCTCCAGCGTACCGTCATCTTCTACTTACTTACTTACTTCATTGACCTTAATTGTCTCGCACGCGCGAGAGTCTCTCTCTCTCTCATTGTCTCCGTGTTTCCAGCGGCAATAATAGAATGTGACAGGACCATCGGGTCCTTCAGCCACCAAAGTGAGATCACCCGAGAGCAGCTGAGCCTGCCTCTGGCCTCGCCTCCCTCTCCTCCCCAGGCATTCGTTCGTGGCATCCTATGGGTCGTCCAGAGTACCGACCTCTGGCGAGTCAGTCAGCCAGCCCCACTTTGAGGGCGCCATGAAGTACAGCGATCGCCACCTCGCTGGCCTCTCCGCAGGCCCCCCCGACCGCGTCGAACTCATCGGCGCGGGCTCTCTCGGCTACGGGACCGGCCCCAGCTTCGTTCGTTCGGCTGAGGGCTGACAAACAAGCTGCCGAGCCCAAATCACTGTGAGAGTCGTGATTTGTTGTTGGTTTTCTAAAATCTCTCTCTGAATGCGAGTGTAGGGCTACTAGAGTAGCGATAGATCTAGGTCGCCTGGCCTGTGACTGAGGAGAATTTTACAACAAAACTCCGAGGAGACGTCCACACAGCCTTTGAATCTTGACATGCTCTGCGTCTGCGTCTCTTTGCAGCTCTTCTCCCAGCCAGCCCAGTGGCGGTCCCAGCCACCCATCCTGCCACTGCCAAGCCCTCCGCCGCCGCCGCCTCCGCCGTCTCCGCCGCCGCCGCCACTCTCTCCGCCGGTCCCACCATCGCCGCCCTCACCCTCGCCACCCCCACCCTCATCGCCACCAACCTCGCCACCTCCGCCCTCGCCGCCACCATCCTCGCCGCCCTCGCCACCACCATCCTCGCCGCCCTCGCCACCTCCGCCCTCGTCGCCGCCAACCTCGCCGCCAACCTCGCCGCCGCCCTCGCCACCGCCGTCGCCGCCGCCCTCGCTGCCGCCGTTGCCGCCAGCATACCCACCGCCGCCCTCACCGCCCTCACCGCCCTCGTTTCCGCCGCCCTCGCCAAGGCCTTCGACGCCGCCCGCACCGCCGCCCCCATCCCCACCCTCGCTCCCGCCGCCGCCACCCTCTCCCGCGCCCTCGCCACCGCCGCCCTCGCCGCCACCACCCTTTCCGCCGCCCTCGTCGCCGCCACCGATGCCGCCACTCCAGCCGCCGCCGCCGTCGCCGCCCCCGCCGTCGCCGCTGCCGCTGCCGCCACCTTCGCCGCTGCCGCCGCCGCCGTCTCCACCGCCGCCGCTGCCGCCCCCGCCCTCGCCGCTGCCGCCGCCGCCGTCTCCACCGCCGCCGTCTCCGCCGCCGCCGTCTCCGCCGCCGCCGACGCCGTCTCCCGCCGCGCCGTCGCCGCCCCCG